GTACGCGCAGCTGCCTTGAGCTCTTTGTCATGCTGGAGGTGATGGCGACCCCCAGTATGTTGAGTCGTTTTGGAGCTTTGCCTCTCTCGTCAGGAATTGGACCGAGGCGCTCCATAATTGATTTCTTCTTGCGGCATGACTCTGCATGATCTCCCGGAGAAGTTATTGGGATTAACGGCGACTTTGGTTGACTCGCCGGAGTTTGACCTTCCTTAGAAGGCTGCACTGGTTGCTTTTTGGCCTGAGTCGCCACTTCAGACTTAGGCTTCCAGACTTGGCGTGTTGGTGGTGGCTTCTTCTCCACCTCCTTTTGCAGCTTTCTACGGGCTTCCTGAGCTTGAGCCCGTGCCTGCGCTGACATCGCGCGGCGTTTGCGAATACGCTCCTCGAGCGTTGAACGGTTCCGTTTGACGCGGACCCATTCTTTCTTTGGCGGCTTGGAAGAGTCGCCATTCATTGGTGGTTGAGGCTGTTTGCCTCTTCTGTTCTTCAACTCCGCGTGGTAGCGGAATCCGTCCGTAGACTCCATCGCCTTAGCGAATTGCCGCGCAAGGCGTTGACGACGCCTCTGGCGGGCTCTCTTTGAGAGAGTCACAACGCCCTGAACAGTGGAGGCGTTGGCGGGAGTTGGGTTGACCTGATTGGAGGTCGGTGGAACTTCATTTGACGCAACTTCGGCGTCAGTTGGGTTGAGAGCTTCGTGGGCTTCCCGAGCAGCTTCAAACCAACGAGCTTTTCTCCCGGAGGAGAACTTCTTGGACTTGCGGGGGGAGATAGAGCCGGACGAGGACACGTACTCCTCGAACTTGGCTTGGTCGAACTCATACTCGACCTCCTCCACGACCCGGATTGCAATCCGCGGCTGCGACGCATCGATCTCGTTGGCGAGATCGTCGGCTCCCACTGTGGTCGCCAGATTGTTCGCGTGGAAAACTGTTTTCTTTTTCATTGATATGATTGTCATCTTGGGTTACAAAGATCCGGTCTTTTATAGATCCGGTTACAACTAAATCAAAGAAAAAAATAAAAAATTACAACTTTCCTCTTGTGAACAAATCGCAAGCTCCTGTTTTGCGGTTGCTTGCTTGTGTGGGTTCTTTGCCAACGCCGGGGTTAATCCGTGGACCACCGCGCG